GGTCCGCAGCCTGGCCCTGGTCCTCAGCCTGGCCCCACTCCGTATCCGCCTGGTCCTCAGCCCGGCCCGCAACCTGGCCCTCAGCCCGGTCCTGGTCCGCAGCCCGGCCCGCAACCTGGTCCTCAACCCGGCCCTGGTCCTCAGCCTGGTCCGCAGCCTGGTCCGCAGCCCGGCCCTGGTCCGCAACCAGGTCCTCAGCCCGGCCCTCAGCCTGGTCCGCAGCCCGGCCCGCAACCCGGCCCGCAGCCTGGCCCGCAGCCGGGTCCTAACCCGACCCCGTGCTCGGACCCGACGACGCCTCCTCCGTACGGTCCCGGCGCGTCGCTCCACCTTCGCCGCAACTAAGAAGCGTGTCGTGTCTGTATCGTATCAATACATCAAGTGTTTTTCTCGGCGTATTTCCTTGTGCAAGCTTACGGGTTGCAAGGCATGTCGTGGGCTTGGCTCAAGAAGGCGCCGAGCGCGCCGAGGTACCCTTCGTGGCGGCAGAAATGCGCCTTCATCTCGCCTTTGGACCAAAAGTTGATGGCGTACGCGAGCGTCCGGCAGGAAATCTTGTTGTGCCGCAGGAAGTTGCCGACAAAAAAGATGCGCTTCGTGCCATGGATGCACGCATTGAGGTACGCGATGAGCCCAATGTTCTGCGTCGTCATCACGAGGAGCGACCGCGCAATGTCCGCGTCCGAGACGCTGCTCCGATCGACCGAAATCATCTTGCCTATCCACATTTGAAGCCAATGGACGCCAAACCAGAGAGCGTACCAAAGCTGCTCGCAACCGTCGTCGCCGGGAGGTTAAACTTCTCGTACGCGCCGCCGTAAATGTCGCCGACGCTCATGTCGACCGACGCGTTGCGCCCGTGCACGGCCAAGTCGAGCGCCTCGTCGTACGTGTTGCACTCAAAGAGCATGCGGCACAGGCCCCAGTACGTCCCTAGCAGCACCATGTCCATGCTACCACTCGATACAGACAATCTTGAGCAACATACCGCCGCCAATCGAGCTACCACTGACGCGCGTAAACGTGTTGGGACCCGTCACATGCAGCACACTCACGCCCGACCCAATGCTGACGAGCTACATGGACCGTAGCCATTATATACATCTCGGAATGGGCGTACGATGTAGGGGAATATGTCTTCGTCCTTGTTGTCGCGCACGAGGCTCACGCGCGTCGCCGAGAGCGAGCCAAAGTCGACGTTCTAATTTGGACTTATACGACGATCGATATTGATACATTGATAGTATACCACAAACGTGTACACTTCGTTGGGAAAGACGTTGAGGAGAAAGTTGAGGCCGCGCACGAGGCACGCAATCTCGTCCTTCTTGCGCACTTCAATGCCCGCGAGCATGTGGATCATCTCGGCGTACTGCATGGACGCTGAGCCGCTTCCAATGGGATTCGACGACGTAGTACCTTGTGGGCGCCACCGCCCGTGCACGAGACGACGCGGAGCGACTGGCTCAAGCTGTGGTTGGCGACTTGCATGACCGCGCCCTCCATCTTGCGCGTCTCAAAGTGCATGAAATGCAGCGTGCCGCCGAGCGTCTCGGACGTGATGCTCAAGCGCGTGTCCCGGACGCCCGAGCTGCCGTAGCTGTCGCTCGACTTGACGAAGCGAGAGACCTCTTGCGCCGCGAGCACGTGCGAATTGGCCCGCGGCCGACTGTTTTGGCCCGGCGCCTGCTCAAAGTAGACAATCTTGGAGAGCGTGCCACCTGTGACCATCGTCATCCCCATGTGCATGTGAAGCGGTCGTACCAATGTCGAGGCCAAACGACTGCCCCATGTCCGAGCTACATGGCGACTGAGGACGAGGCAGGAGAAAGCTAGTAACCCTACGTGGGCGAAATCTTCTTGAGCGCGATGCGCCGCTTCCAGTTGAGCTTGCGGATGTGCTGCCGCTTGAGCGTATACGCGACGACGGCGCCGCAGACGCAGGCAAAGAGCACCGGCAGCTTCATGCGCCCGACGTCCGACGACCACAACCGAACGCCAACCGGCTACCAAGGCTAAAAACACGCCATTCCTTGGACGCAACTTCAACGACTTGGTTCCTCGAGGAACAGCGCCGACGGAATCCCATGCCGATCGTGCACCTCATGTACAGCAGCTCGGCCATTGTCCAAGATGCGTGGAAGAAGGGTGCGATGGACGCTTATATTAAGAGGCGGGTGTCTATCGCAGCGGCGCGGGGGGTGGCCGCGCGTAGCCTTCGATCGTGTTGTGCACCTTGAGCAGCTCCTTATTGAGCCGCGCAAGCACCGAGTTGGACGACTGGTATGCGTCGAGGATGCGCGCCGTGCCAGGAACGACCGAGAGTGGTGTCACGCCGTTCCTGGCCTTGGACTCGTGCAGCGTGTGAACGAGCGCTTCGAGCTCGGCTTGGCTCAGAGACGCGCGCTGCCTGCTGGCGCTGCTCGGCGGCGGCGTCAACGGCGATGCTGTGGCAGGGGGTGCGAGTGCCGGCGTCGCGTCATTTGGAGGCTGCTGGCTCTGGCCGCGCTTCCACTCGGCCGCCACCTACGCCACATGAATCGTAAATACAGGATGCTATCGCAAATATACAAGTACGTGAGCGAGTTTGTGACAGAGCATGTTGTTGGCGCGGAGGAGCCGGCCGCAGTCGTGCTCCATCGAGCCCGACATGGCTTGCGCGCCCGAGACCACGTTCGGCCACGCGGTCGCGTACCTTTCCTGGAAGCGCCGCGTGTGCTCGACGAGCTCCCGCGTCTTGCGCACGAGGTTTTCGAGCGGCTCAACCGCCGTCGTGGCCGGCGGCGCCTTCTCCAAGAGCGCTTCGTTGCGCTGGCACTGCTGCCACACAAGCTGCTCGGTCGTGCGCTCCTTCTCTTGCAACCGAGCAATGGTCTTCTGCAATTCGTCCATCCGACTTCGGTACTGTGCGTGGTCCTGGATCGCACTGCGCAGTTGAGTCGTGAGGTCGGTTTGCACGCGCTTGGACTGATCGACTTCTTCCTTGAGCAGCCGAATGTGTTCGTCTTTTCGGTGCAACTCGGGTTGGGTCTTGCTCTGCACATTCTAGATCAAGTCAATGGTACCCACAGGAAGACCATAGGAAGTGCATACCTGCAGCGAGGCCACGTCACGCAAGACGCGCTGGTACTCGATCTCGAGACGCGCAAACTTTTGTTGAAACTCGAGCTCGACGCGCTGCAGTTGGGTCTGCGCGTCCCGGGCGTCACGTTCGTGCTTGGCCGCGCGGTCCGACTCGTCGCGGATCGCCTTGCGCGCCTGGAGCAGCTCTTGCTCCCACCGCAACTTGGCTTGCATGGCCTCGTACTTAAGCTGGTCAAAGCGCTGTTGCTGCGACCCCTCGCGCATCTACGACACGCGCTTGACGCCGATATTTTGCAATGGATGATTGTACGGCTTGGAGCTGCGCGAGCTTCTCGGTTGCTGCACCAAGGCGGTCTTGAAGCATGTCAATGCGCGCTTGGTACTGCCCCGACTTGAGCTGCCACGCCGCTTCCATCTCGTAGCTCTTTGTCGTGAAGTGCCTATCACAACGGATCGTGAGCTCTCGCACGATACCATTGAGTGCCAACTCTTTGAGCCCGTGCATGTGGCCGAGCTGCACGGCGAGCGTCTGCGCCTCGTCTTTGGACTGGATGTGGATCTGGCTGCGCTCGGCCTCGAGCGCTTGGATGCGGGCCTTGAGAAGTTGCCGCTGTTGCTTGTTCTTGGTAGCTTCCTGGCTCAAAGACGCTTCGAGGGACTTCTTTTCTTGCATCACGGCCTCGAGACTCTTCTCGCGCTCTTTCAAAAGCACTTCGTTCTTGGCAATATCGGCAAGCGCCAGCTGGAACGAGCCGCGGAGCTGCCGATCGGCGTCTTTGGCGGCTGCGAGCTCGGCTTGGACCTAATCACGCGTTTCAAACAAGGCTCGACACAGCAGCGCCAAAACGTTACCAGCGAAAGACGCTCTTGCATTTTGGCTTGCTCGCGTTCGAGGACCGCACCTTCGGACTGGACTTGCTGGAGGCCTTGGACCTTGGCCTGCCACTCGGATGCCGTCGACGTCGCGCGGGCCTCCCACTCAGTGGCACTCGCATGGGCCTTGAAGAGGGCCTCTTGCAGCTTCTGGATCTCGGCAGTCGCACGCTGCACGTCGCTGGTCAGCGTCACGTTGGTCGCTTCGACGGCTTCGAGCTTCTTGAGCGTTTCCCAGCGCACCTTGTCCGTCTGGACGCTCATTTCATCGAGCATCTGCTGCTTCTGCCCACGGAGGCGCTCAATCTCGTCGTTGAGACGCATCTCGTCGTCCTTGGTGCGACGAGTTTGATCGTCGAGCTGCTTCTTGAGGCTTGCGACGTCGGCTTCAAACTGGTCGCACTGCCGCCTGAGCGCGTAGCTGTCGTCGCTCTCGGACGTTGCGCGTTGCAAGCGCTGCTGCAGCTCGAGAATATCCGCCTTGTCTGCCTCGCGCTGCTTGGTCGTCTTCTCGAGGGCGAGCTCGAGCTCCATCTTGCCTTGCCGAAGGGCCTTGATCGTGTCGTCGCGGTCACTGACGGTTGCCTTGGCACGATCCAGGTCGGCCTCCTTCTCCCGCAACTTCAGCTCCCAGTTCTGTACAATCTGCTTGCGCTCTTTGTGCCATTGCTCCTTCTCGCTGCTGAGCTGCGCCTCGTGGGCAAGCTCGAGTTCGTTCTTGGCCCGTTGAACCTCCCACGTCGCCGACTCGCTTGAGCGCTCCTTCTCCGACTCAAGGCGCTGCACAACGCGGAGCTTCTCCGTGTGCTCGAGCTCGAGATTGTTAAACCGTTGCATGAGGTCTTCGTTCGCTTGCCGCAGCGCGTCGATTTCGGCGTAGGCCGCCTGTAGCTCGTCCTCGAGGCGCGCCACGTCCTGCTCGAGTCGCAGCGCCTCTTGCGTCGACTCTTCGAGCTGGCTGTGGTTGGCCGACGCGCTGAGTCGGTTGTTCTCCTTGGCTGTCTCCAAGTCGACGCGCAGTACTTCGATCGCGTCGCGCGCCCGCACGAGGAGGAAGTTCCTTCGCTCGAGCTCCTGCACCTTCTCCTCAATGACCGTTCGGAGGTGCATGTTCTCGGACTCGAAGTCTTCGTCTTCAAAGGCCGTACCTACATGCAGCGTCGTCATGCGCATGGCATCCTACGACATGCAGTCGTCGCATTGGCTCTCACCTTCCTTGTACTTAAGGAGCTGCTCCTCGAGAAAGTTGATCCGGAGCTTCATGTTGAACGCTTCCTTCTGTAGCCGCTCGCGCTCCATCTCGCCTTCGCGGATGAGGAGCAGGTCTCCGCGCGGGTCCGACGCCTCCATGCTGCTGCTCCGTCGTCGCCACCGATCGTACCGCGGGTCGCCCGAAAATGGAATTTTCAAACCCGGCGCCTCCAATCCCTCTCAAAACGCATACCTAACCGTTCGAATATCTTTCCACTGCGCGGCAATTGGGATATGCATTTCCAGAGGTTTCGCCGCCTGCCCCGAGGTATCCAGTGCGAGACAGTCGAGGAACTGGCGCCCGTCCATGGCTCTAACTGCCACCACCCTCCCAACCCAAGTCTGTCGAAATGAGTGTACTAACTATAATTGTCTCTCTCGCATCTCGGCCACGAGTACTGTGTGGAACCGACTAATTATACCTGGCGTCCGTTATGCTGCAGCGCGGCTCTTGACCTGCGAAGCGGCGGCCCGAATCCCGTCGCCAAAGCTTCTTCATGGTCGTCATGTAGCTTCCATGCAAGCGCATGCTTTAGAGACAGGTGCATGTCCCCTCAAGATACCTTCATGTCGTCGTCGTTGGCGAGCGAGGAACATGCTGCGGGGGTGCCCACGAGGCAAGCGGACTTCGCAGTGACATCTTCTATGCGAGCTTGAACGGGTTAGTCAATCGAAACACACTACTAGTCGATATCGGCATGTCAATGGACAAGCTATCAGTATGAGAAAGGATGTACTGCCACCACCGACTACTGTACTAGTACTAGATACAGTAGTGGTGGCAGGTCGTTGGCTTCAACTTTGCGTTTTGGCGCCAGAACGGGAGCGGGAGGCGGTCGTTCGGATAATTGTATCCGGAGGATACCGAGATCCATAACCGCAGTGAACGCAACCACCGTCGATCTCGCCATGGCATCGTCGGGGATCCCGTCGTACCTGCGCTCGACGAGCAGCAGCAGCAGCAAGGTCAAGAAGGACCCCAAGGCCGAGAAGAAGAAGACGGTCGACTTCCCCGTCCGGCGCGCTGGCGCCAAGAAGGAGGAGTTCCGCGTGCGCCCGCCGCCGGCGCCGCTCTCGATCGCGATCCCATCGACGCCGACGCAGGTCGCAAGCGCGTTGGCGTCGCAAAAGGTCACCAAGCGCGCGGTGCCATCGCCCAAGAAGCCGCTCAAGCGAGCGTCCACGACCATCGTCGATGAGCGCAAGGCAATGCGGTCGCCGCCGACCACAATGGCCAACGTCCCGAGCTACATGCGGCAAACCGTGAGCCGCGGGTACAAGGAAGGCACGCTGCAGCACCCAGCCGAGCCGAGCTCCGTTTCACCGCCCAAAAAAGTCGTACGTACATGCTCGTCTCTCGCGTCCTTAGCCGGTTGTCGTAGCCGACGCCACGCCAAGCGCACAAGGTGCCAACGTCCTTCAAGCCGACGACAACAACGAACGCGGTCGTCAAGCGCACACCACGCGCTGCAGAGACCCCACGAGACCCGATGCTTCGCGCACCACCGACCAAGGAGCCCGATGCAGTGGTCGACAACAACCCCGAGTGCAAGACGCCGCCGCCACCTGGTGACGAGCCTGACGCGCACCACCGCGCGTTGGTCGCTCCGCATGTTGTGCCCGTTGCTTCGCCACGGACACTGCCCCATCATTCGCACGATTCCATGTCGGTGGACGAGGCATTGGACCTTGCAGTCGCAATGCGGACGATCGCGTCGCTCCAAGACGCGGCCGCCATGACCGCCGACGAGCTCGCGCGCCTCGAGGCCGAGCGCCATGACGCGCTCATGGACCGGGACGTGCTCCAGACCAATTTGGACAAGATGTCGGCGGCGCTCACGACGGCCAAGCAGAAATGCGAAGCGCACGCCGACGCGGCGCTCACCTTCCAGCGGCAGCGCGACGGTCTCGAGACCGAGCTCCTCGAGCACAAGATGGCGCTGACCGAGATCAAAAAGCAGGTGGTCGCCTCCACCGAGGCCAAGCACGCGTCCATGGCATCCGCAGAGCAGCGCGTTGTCGACCTGACCGCACATGTCGCGACGCTCGAGCTGGAAAAACAAGGTCGCGACAAGGAGCTCGAGCATCTCAACCGTATCTGCGGCGCCCTCCAGCTCCAAGTGAACGCGTTTGAAGCCGCCCAAGCCGAGTGGAGCCACAAAACCAGTCGCATGGCCGAGATGACAGAGACGCTGGCCACGCTGCAGCTGCGCGCCGAGGTCTCGGAAGACGTCCAGCGGCAAATGGCATCCGCGGCGAGTGACCGCGCAGCGCTGGTTGCAGAGTACGATGCAAAGTTGGCCCACGAGCACGACAAGATTACTCGTCTGGAAGCGCAGATCATCGAGCATGCGACACTTGTGCAGGCCATGCCGGCCATGCCAGCCGATGATGCGACCGTGCGCGAGCTCCGGCAGCAGCTCGAACACGCGGTGCACGCACTCGAAGATCACGACGTGATGCGGGAAGCGACGCTGCAGCACACGTGTCTGACGCACGAGATGGAGATTGCGCGCTTGCATGGCGAGATCGAATCGTACGTAGAGCAGCTCCGTGATATCGAGGCCATGCTGACACGCGTGCAAGACGAGAAGGAGGATCTGAGTCGCGACACGGCGACCACGGACGCGCGCGTCGCGTCGCTCCAGAGCCAGCTCGATGAGATCATCGTCGAGAAGGACCACGTGGCAGGGCTCCATGCGCAGCTCACGGCCTCGATTGCGCAGCGCGATGAGCGCATCCGGGCGCTGGAAGCCGACGCCAACCGGATGCAACGCGACGTCGACGCGGCAGATGCCGACTGGACGGCGCGTTTGGAGGCGACGACTACCGACGCCGACCGGCGCAACGAAGCAATTGAGGCAGCGTACGAAGTCCAAGTGCGCGAACTCACGGACGAACTGGCGACGGCCGTCTCGACCGCCGAGCACGCTGTGGCCACGCGCAAGCAGGCTGAAAGTGACGTCGTTGCACTACGAACCGAGCTTGCAGAGAAGGCGGCGTCGCTACAAAGTCTCTCGAGCGGCCACGGCTCGCGGGAGGCCGACTGGCTCGCAGAGCTGGAAGAACGTGATGTGGCCAATGCTGCGCTTACACGCCGTATTGAAGAGCTCGAAGCAGCCATCGCCGGGGCGAATGCTGCGCGCGACGAGCTCGAGAAGCAGGCTGCGACGCACGCCGCCATCACCGAGTCGTATGTGGCCCAAGTCGCCGAGATCGAGGCGGCGAAATGTGCACTGCAAGACGACTACGAAACACTGCAAGCCCGCACCCAGTCCCTTGACGCATCGTTTGCAACTGCAGAAGCCGAGGCGAAGCGCCACATATCGCAGATCGATGCTCTTACGTCCGAGCTGCGGCAGAATGCGCTGGCGCACGAGGCCGAGGTCGCAGATCTGGAGGCATCGGTCGCAGCACTGCACGCTCAGTTGCAAGGCCACGCCGAGACGGCCCACGTATTGCAGGCAAAGCACAGCAGCTACGAAGCCGACGCCGCGTCACACGCTGCCGTGGTCGAGTCGTTCACAGTACAGATCGAAGCGCTTCAGACACAACTCGCAGCCCGGGATGCGACCGAGGCCGAGCTTTTAGCTGCGCACCAAGAGACCAAAGACGCGCTGGACGAAGCCCGATATCAAGTGGACGAGCTGGAAGCGCGCGCGCACGACGCCGAGACTGAGGTCGACTCGGCGCATGTCGCACGCATTGACGCTCTTGAGGCTACCATTCGCGAACTTGAGACGCGTTTGGAGGCAAACGCACCAGAAAAGATTGCCGAGGCCCGCGCGGCAGTCGACGCCATGCGCCGTGAGCAGAACGAAGCCACGGCGGCGCACGATGCGCAGCTCCACGTGCTGCAAGAGTCGCAACGCGAGCTCAAGGCCCTTGAAGCTGCCAAGACGCGGCAATTGACGACGCTCGAAGCATCACACGAGCAGCTCGGGGCCGAACTGCAAGCCGCCAAGAAGACCATCACCGCACTTCAGGCCCAGCTATCGACGACGACGCAGCCCACTGCGGTCGCTGTAGCTGCCGTACCACGACCCGTCATTGGAAAAGGGGTTGTGGTGGTGCATTTTGGGTCCTTGGAGCTCCATGCAGGCTTGCTCCACGCCGATACAGCCTCGTATGTGCCCACGTTGAAGCTCCCGGTACGTCTATTTGGATGATATTGATGTGAGCTCTAACATACCGGACGCTGTAGACGCTTGTGGCTGTGCCGCAAGGCGGCGCTGCCGAGCTCCACCGAGTTCTGCAAGGGTCGTCGTACATTGGGACCGGCTCAGTTCGCATCGGCTACGAGGTTGACCGTACCTTCTTTCTCATTGGCGCTGACCCTCACGCCAGAACGGGTACTTTCTTGGGCGAGACGCGGTGACATTTTTGTACGAGCACCCGGACCCGGCGCTGCGCTGCATTCTCAAACAAGAGCGCGTCTTCCAGAACGGCCATGTCACGTCGACCGAGTACCTCGAAGGACTTCTCCACCAAGTCTTTACGGGTCTCGGCATTGATGACGCCATCTCGTCCTACAACGTAGGATTCAACCATCTTGTGCATGGGTTGGCTGATCTCTGTGTGTAGGTCATTGTGACGCACAAGCCGCAGCTCGCCAAGGCGTCGCGCGAGGCGCTCGCCGACGTGCTCTTTGAAAAGTGCGCGGTCAAAGGCGCTCTCCTGGCCACCGATGCGCTCATGAGCTTGCGAGCCCGCGGCAAGAGCACGGGCCTTGTCCTCGACGTCGGCGCCGACGCCACGTACATTGTGCCCATCTACGAAGACATGATTGTACGTCGCCGGGTGGTCCATGTACCCATGTCGACCTTGCGCAATAGCTGGACCATGCCGTCGTTACGATGCCGATGGGGGGCGAAGCGCTCGTGGCCTTTATGGTCTCGATGCTGCTTTCCCAAGAGAGCGACGAGTACCACAAGATTCCTTTGCGGCTCCAGCAAAAGATTGCACGCGCGATACTCGTACGTCATCAACCAACATCATTCCATCACAGGAATGCGTCATGTAGGAAACCAAAGGCATGGTCGCCAAGGACTTTGACGCGATGGCCGAGAAGCACGGCCGCTTTGAACGCGCGCATGTCCAAGTGCTTCCGACCGAGTCGCAACCCGTGTGGCAGAAAGCCGTGCCCCACAAAACCACCGCGGCGCACCCGTAATGTTACTACTACCGAAGCGTGAGGACAAAGAAGGCTCGACGGTTGTAGGTTGCATGAGGTGTATGCGTACCGACTACCCTCGGGGTCGACGCTCGAGATGCACTGTGACGTCGAGCGCTTCATCGCGCCCGAGCTCCTCTGGCAACCCAAGCTCAATCCTGGTAGGCGCCATGTCTCGATGACACGAGGCAGACGACGTACGATGCGTAGACAATGCGTGCGAGATGGCCCTTCATGACGCGCTCGCAAGAGCCTTTGCCGAGAGCGACAGCCAGCTCCACCACGAACTCTTGGCCAACGTCGTGTGCACGGGCGGCGCCTGCCAACTCCCGGGCTTCAAGGCGCGCGTGCACCAAGAGATCCAGAAACTCTGTCCGTTCGAGTCGCTGATTGTGGTCGACGTGGTTGGGAAGGACGAGTGCGCGACGTTTGCAGGCACGTGCATGTACGCGAGCTCGCTCAAAGACCGGTCTTGGATCACCTCGGACGAGTTTGACGTCGACGGCGCGGCCGTGCTACACGCAAAGTGCTTTTAACACGACCCTCGATTCATGCATTAAGAGCGCGTCTATGACTCGGCGCTCAGCTCCTTCTTCCACTTGTTTCGGAGATCCGTGGCGAGCTTCTTGATCGTCGCACTCCTATACAAGTGATGCGAGTAAGAAGAGGTCGCGCGAGCCTGACACGTACTCGGAATGCCGCAGCTTGCGGAGAGCAAACCCAATCTTGGACTTGGTGATCTCGTTTCGAGACAAGGTCATGGTGCCAAGGGCCTTGAGGTGCGCGATGATGTCGTCGTTGTTGGACGACGGGTCCAGTGCCTTGGCCACCTTAGTGAGCTTGGCCACGGTCGGGTCGGTCGATGCGCTGGAGCTCTCTCCACTCGCATACGCCTTCTTCCATCCATCGCGGATCGACTTGGCGAGGCTCGCGACCTTTTCGTTTCTGCATACAAAGTGTAAGGTTCGTGCACGTATAACAATGGAGGGTACGCATGGGAGCGGAGAAGAGCGACGGTCTTGGGGATGCCCGTCGCGCGCAAGACGTCTGCTTCCAAGAGGGCCTACACAAGACGACGTGGGTGTGGCAGCGGCTCGGAGGAAAATAGAAGGTACGCACCGTCGACAGCTTCATAAGGGTTTCCAACAGCATCTCATGCGACGTGTTTGCGTCATCGAGAATGACCTTGAGCTTCTTCACGGCGTCCTTACTGAGCCCAGCAGCCTTGCTAGAAGCTTTGGGTGCCTCGGCGGTGACTGGTGTCGGCGGTGCTACCACCGGGGTCGGAGCAACAACTGCCTTGGCGGGCTCGACTGCTGGCACAGGCACGGTTCTTTGCACGGGCTCGGTCATTTGCACAGGCTCAGCGCTTTGCACGGGCTCGGCGGGTGACCCGTCCATCGGGGCGTCGGGCGCGTCAACGCGGTCATCGACCTCGGCGATGATTTGGTTGATCACGTCGCGAATCAGAATTTTGTGCTCTTTGAGGCTCATGCCAAACTTCTCTTCGAGCATCGTGCGCACCTTGCGCGTCGTGAGCTCGTCAAGGCTCATAGACGTGAGAATGTGACGAATGCCCGCGTCGATCTTGGCTTCCAGGCCACTGTCGTCGACCTTGGGCTTTTTCGGGGCGACCTCGGTCTCCGAGCCGTTGGACGCCTTGCGCTTCAGCGGCGACGCGGGCTGGACCTCGATTGTGGTTTCCGTCTCGATGACCGCAGGCTCGGCGTCTTTCTTTGTGTCCTTCTTGGGCTTGTTTTCCTTCTTTGGCTTGGACTCCTTCTTCCCCTTGGACTCCTTCTTCTCCTTGGACTCTTTCTTCTCCTTGGGCTCCTTCTTTTCCTTGGGCTCCTTCTTCGCCTTGGGCTCCTTCTTCGCCTTGGGCTCCTTCTTCGCCTTGGCTTCCTTCTTTGCCTTGGCATCTGCCTTCGTCTTTTTGGATTTTTTAGGCTGCTTGAGCATCTTGTCGTCTTCGCTAATGTCGCCATCGTCGGCCTCGGGCGCGTCGACCGCATCACCGCCTTCCTCAGCATCGTCGTCGTCGTCGTCTTCGGCTTCCGACACATGCTCGGGCGTCGGCGGCGGCTCGAGGCTCGGGTCCATGTCCGAGGGCACCATGTGCGGGAGGAGGCGCGTGCTCTCGTCCGTCGCCAAGTACTCCTATGGTTTCATGGCACCTAGCGCATCGCTCGCGGATGTTTATACCTCGGCCTCCTCGATTGCGGCCTTGAGCTGCTCGGCAATACCCTTCTTCGACGCAAGCGCTTTGGGATGACCCTGCAAAAAGTTCTCCTTGTCGGGGCCGTCCCAGCGCCGGACGAGCTTCGTCTTCATCTTGCCGCTACAAGAGTCATTGTCATGAGCTATACCCATATTCATTGTCATCGTACAATTCATAGGAGCCAAAGAAGTAGACGATGCGAAAGTCGTTGGGGAAGCAGCGCGCCTGCCGGGCAATGGCCTGATGCGACGACCCTACACGACGACGAAGTTCATGAGCCCATAGCGTCCATGGAAGCATCCTCTACCGAGGTTGAAGAGCTTGAGTCGCAGCTTCTTCGGGTCGCAGACGTACACGGGCCACCACGGGTACCCCTCAAGGAGCGCCCACGCCACGCAGCTCAGTCTCTCCTCCATCTCGGCCGTCGGGCGCAAATTCGAAAATGACGCAATGTTGAACCACGGACCAATCAAAACGTCGTCGCAATTGACTTTTGACCAATCCCAGCGCGCTTGCTGGCAGCGGGTTTGAAATCCCAAGGATCTGCTTCCACCAATGCTAGTTGCCAAGAGGGTCGCTCCATGCACGGACAATACTCTTGCTCCATGGAACGAAATGCTACGAGAAGGGCGTCGCGCCAAGGCTATCGTCGTGCCACCGGATGCAGACACCGTCGGCGTCGCCCGACACGACCTGGCGCTGGTCCGCCGTGAGCGCGATCGCCGTCACGGCCGCGCGGTGCTCGAGCAGGAGCTTCATGACGTAGAGGCGGCAAGATGGCACGATCTTGCCGTGGCCGGCCACAGCCACGGGCTTTCGCTGGCGCGGCGAGAGCACCGACGCAGGTGCAACCGGCTCGTCCTTTTTGCTTGTCTGCATCTGGTCGCCCTCGACGTCGGACGGGTACTGGAGGCCCCAGCAGGCCAGCGTCCCGTTCGCATGGCCCGTCACGACGACGACCCCGTTCTGCCACACATCGCAGCGCGACGTCACGGCTGCCGTCTAGTCATCGCATGTATGACATCATCGCTTCAAAAGCAAAGGCGTACGATGGGGTGGAGTCCGAGGGCGGGCAGCACGGCGCAGGCGAGGAGGTCGCCGTTGAGGCTCCAGACGCGAAGCTCGGTCGCCGACGCCGTCATGAGGTTGCCGTTGGCGCCGTTGATACCCACGTGCAGGAGCGGTGTTACGTGGCCGCAGAGCTCGCGCAAATACACCTGGCTGCGGAGGTCCCATACAATCGCGGTCAGATCGGCCGACCCAGAGAGCACGAGGTTGAACGCCTTGTTGATCGCAACACTGAGCACAGGAGCGTCATGGCCCGCCAACTTGCCCTTGTGCGAAAAATGGCGCTGGCCATGGAGCTTGACGCACTCGATGACGTTGACTACGCCGTCGTCGCCGCCACTCACGAGCGTCAACCCGTCGTCGGCAAACACTGCGCACCGGATCGCGCTTAGGTGTACGTCTTCGAGGACGACGAGCGGCTTGGCTTTTGGCAGCGCTCGCAAGATCAAATGGCCGTGCTTGCCATAGTCGACGCACTTTTTTAGGCGAGGCGGCACGAGCACGCTCCCGAGCCCTCGGCACACCAACTAGCACCAGCCATCGCATCAGTAGCATAGGACACCAACGACGAGGCAAGGCGGTGAGTACCTTGTCGGCGCAGAGCTTGACGTCGCCGATGGCTTCGTTCTGGAGCACGTGCGCGATCGACGCCTTCTTGAGATGAACGTATTCCTTGCCAATCGACACGAGCGGCGGGGCAAGCGGCGTGTGCCACTTGACATACGTCTCGACGCTATTCATGGTGGTTCAAAATGACGAGGTCGCGACGGTCTCTACCTGCTTGGGGCGTTGAGCGAAAGGTCATGTGCGTGGGTCATGAGGCTCGAGTGCGACTGCAAATGGAGCGTTGGCATCTTGCGCTGCGGGTGCGGGCTGTTGAAGAGCTTGGACGGGGTCTGACCAAAGTTTTCAATCTGCGCCAACGTCGCCTCGCGTAAAACCGGGTCCTCGATCGCGTCCAGATCAATCTACATCGCAAAAGGTCCTCGTGCCATCGACAAAAAACCAGAGTTTGGGACGCACCGTGCCTTCGTATGTCATGTGCATAAAGACGTTGAGCGCGTCGACCGCCGCCTCCCCGCGCTGCTTGCAGCCAAAGATGAGGTCGATCCAGTGGTGCAAGTTCTCCGACACGTACTAC